ACCTCCGCCTTCTAGGTTCAAGCAATTCTCCTGCTTCACCCTCCCGAGTAGCTGGGATTACAGGCGCGTGCCACCATGCCCAGCTAATTTTTGTATTTTTAGTAGAGACGGGGTTTCACCTCGTTGACCAGGATGGTCTCGATCTCTTGACCTCGTGATCCACCCACCTCGGCCTCCCAAAGTGCTGGGATTATAGGTGTGAGTCACCGCGCCTGGCCAACTTTCTGATTTCTTTTATGAGGCTAGCATTACACCAATACCAAAGACAAAGAAGCTATCAGACGAAAAGAAAACTATAGTCCACTATCACTGATAAATACAGATGCGAAGATCCTCAATAAAATATTATTGAAACTAAATTCAACAGCACATTAAAAGGATCACACACCATGACCAAGTGTGGCATCTCTAGGATGAAAGGATTATTCAACATATGAAATCAGCCAGCGGCGGTGGCTCACGACTATAATCCCAGCACTTTGGGAGGCCAAGGCAGGTGGATTACTTGAGGTCGGGAGTTTGAAAATAGCCTGGCCAACATGGCGAAACTTCATGTCTACTAAAAACACAAAAACTAGCCAGGCATGGTGGCTGTGCATCTGTGATCACAGCTACTGAGGAGGCTGAGGCATGAGAATCACTTGAACCCAGGAGGCAGAGGTTGCAGTGAGCCAAGATCGTACTGCTACACTCCAGCCTGGGTAGAAGAGCAAGCCTCCATCTCAAAAAAAAAAAAGAAAATCAACCAATGCGACACACCACATTAACAGAAAGAAGAATAAATGTCACACAATCATCTCAACAGATAAACAAAAAGCATTTGACAAAATTCAACATTTTTTCATAATAAAAATACTGAACAAACTATAAATTAAAGCAAATAGCCTCTACATAATAAAAGCCATATATAAAAGTCCTACAGCAAACATCATATTCAAGGAATAAGAACTGTAAGGTTTTCTTCTAATATCAGGAACAAGCTAGGATAACCTCTCACCAGTTCTACTCAATGTAGGACTGGAAAGCCTAGCTAGAACAATTAGGAAAAAAAAAAAAAAAAAAGGCATCCAAATTGGAAAGGAAGAAATACAACTATCTTTTTACAGATAACATGATCTTACACTTTTTTTCCCCCCCTTTTTGTAGAGAATGGGGTCTTACTGTATTACCCAGGCAGGTCTCAAACTCCTCAGCTCAAGCTATCCTCCCGCCTGTGCCTCCCTAAGAACTGGGATTACTGGTGTGAGCCACTGTGCCTGGCCTTTGAGGGGAGTTATGCTTATCTTTTTTTGTCTTTTTTGACATTATCTTATAAGTAGAAAACACTAAGGATTCTACCAAAAAAAAAGAAAAAAGAAAAAAAAAACTGTTAGAACGAATACAAAATTAATCAATCTTGTTATAAGATGCAAAATCAACACATAAAAATCAGTTGCATTTCTATATACTAACAATGAACTATCTGAAAAGGTAATTAAGAAAACAGTCCTGTTCACAATAGCTTCAAAAGAATAAAATGCTTATGAATAAACTTATCCAAAGAGACAAAGGACTTGTCCACTAAAAAATATAAAACATTGCTGAAAGAAATTAAAAACACTGCAAAAGCTTCCCATGGTCACAGACTGAAAAACTTAGCATTGTTAAAATGTCCATACTATTCATAGTGATCTGCAGATTCAATGCAATCTCTATCAAAATGCCAATGCTATTTTTTACAAAAATAAAGAAAGAATCCTAAATTCCATAAGTAACCACAAGAAACTCCAAACACAGTTGTGAGAAAGAAGAACAACACTGGAGGCCTCCCACTTCCTAACTTCAAAACATACTACAAGCCAGAGTAATAAGATCAGTTTGGTAGTGGCATAAAGACAGACACACCAACTAATGGAACAAAACAAGAATCCTGGAAATAAAACCCACACAGTGAAATGATCTTTGACAAAAGTGCCAAGATTCTACAAGATGGAAAGAATAGTTTCTTCAACAAATGGTACTGAGAAAACTGGATATCTGCATGCAAAAGAATTGGACCCTTATAACATACACAAACATCATCTCACTGTACTGTATGAATTAAAGACTTAAATATAAGACTTAAAACTATACAAGCCAAGACTCTGCCACTGTCCTCCAGCCTGGGTGACAGAGAAAGACCCTTTTTTAAAAAACAAAACAAAAACTTGAAACTATAAAACTATAAGAAAGCAGAGACGAAATGCTTCATAACACTGATCTTGGCAATGGTTTCTTTGAAATGACTCTAAAAGCACAGACAATAAAAAAAAAAATAGACAAGTGAGACTATATCAAATTAGAAAGCTTCTGCACAGAAAAGTAAAAAACAGAGTAAAAAGGCAACCTACAGAATGAGAGGAAATACATGCAAACCATATATCTAATAAGGGGTTAAAATACAAAATACAGTAAAACTGCTATAACTCAATAATAAAATATCAAATAACCTATTTTTAAAATGTGCAAAGGACTTCAATAGAGATTTCTCAAAACAAGACATACAAATGGGCAAAGGTATATGAAAAGATACTCAACATCACTAATCAGACAAATATAAATCAAACCCACAATGAGGTATCACTTCATCTTTTAGGATGGCTATTATTTAAAGAAAAAAAAAAAAGAAAAGAAAAACAGAAAATAATAAGTGTTAACAAAGTTGGTGGTTGGAATGTAAAATGGTGTAGTTGCTATACAAAACAGTTTGGACATTCCTCAAAAAATTATAAATGAAATTACCATCTAATCCAGCAATCCCACTTTTGGACATACTGCCAACAGAATTGGAAACAAGATTTCTATAAAATATTTGCACTCCCACAGCTGGGCATGGTGACTCATTCCTGTGATCCCAACACTTTGGGAGTCTGAGGCAGGAGGATCACTTGAGCCCAGGAGTCCAAGACCAGACTGGGCAAGAAAGTGAGACCCCTTCTCTACAAAGCAAAAAAAAAAAAAAAAATTAGCCAGTCATGGTGGCACAAACCTATAGTCCCACTACTCAGAAGGCCAAGACAGGGGGATTGCTTGAGCCCAGGAGTTTGAGGCTACGGTGAGCCATGATCATGCCACTGCACTCCAGCCTGGGTAACAGAGTGAGACTCTGTCTCTCTCAAAAAAGAAAAATCACATTCTCATGTTCATTGCAGCATTATTCACAATACCCAAAAGGTAGAAACAACCTAAATGTCCACTGATGATAGGTTAATGAATTAAAAAATATATACACACAATGGAATATTATTCAGTTTTAAAAAAGAAGAAAGTCCTGCTATATGCTAGAACATATATAAGTGCTGAGGCCATTATGCTAAGTGAAATAAGCCATCAGAGCAAATACTGCATTATTCCACTTATATGAGGTATTTGGAGTCAAGCTTATAGAAACAGAATAGAGAATATAAAACTGCTCCTAGCAGTTGTCAGGAGCTTGAGGGAGGGGAAAACGAAGAGCTGCTATCCAATGGGTATAGAGTTTCAGTTATGTAAGATGAAAAAGTGCATACAGTTAACAATCGTGCTGTACACTTAGAAATTTGAGAGGCTAAATCTCATATTATGTAATTTTTTACCATAATTTTTTAAAAATAAAAAACAAGAATGTACAGAATATTTGGGGGCATGGAAATGGGTACAGGGAGAAGGGGTTCATTTAGAAGAATTATCTACATAGAAGAAGAAACAAGTGCAAAGGCTCAGAGAAGACTAATAACCTGTTCGGTAAACTGAAGTAAGTCCATTATGGCACAGGCATAGTGAACTAGAAGGAGAGTGGTAATAGATGAAACTAGAAATGCGGGCAGGGGCTTGATCAAGCAGGGACTTATAGGCCATCTTAAAGATTTGAATTATATCCTAAAATCAATGGAAAGTTTTTGAATGGCTTTAAGAAAAGGAATAACATAATCTGAGTAATGTGTAGGAATGAACACTACTAATAGCCTTGCTTTCCAAGACTCAATTAATAAAATTAGAAAAGGGTCTCCCCTAAAAGGAATAAAGAGAAATTTTCAGAAACATCTAGAATTCAGATTTAAGGTAAATTACATTAAGAGAAAGTTAATATGTAGTTCTACAATGAAAATAGATCAGATAATCTGAATCAAATATAAATAAGTTCAACATAGTTAAACTACAGTAATTTGGTAAAGTGTGTCAGGCATATACTTTAACCTCCATTTGAAAAATAGCATTTTTTCAACTGGCAGAAAGAAAAGTGATGGAAACATGTCTCATGTCTGATTTATCATTAAATTTAGTGTAATGGTTTGAATGTATCTCCACCAAAATTCAGGTGTTGTCTATGAGATAGTATTAAGATGCAGGTCCTTTAAGAGGCGATTAGGCAATGAGAGCTTCATTAATGGGATTAGGTGCCCTTATAAAAAGAGTTTGATAAAGGGAGTCTGTCCCTTTTGCCCTTCTGCTATGTGAGGGCACAATGTTCCCCACTTGGGAGGATGGAGCATTAAGGTGCCACATGCAAACAGAGAGCAGCCCTCACCAGACACTAAATCTTCTAAGCCTTCATCTTAGACTTCCAAGTCTCCAGAAATACGAGAAAATAAATTTCTGTTCCTTATAAATTACCCAGTCTCATGTATTGTTAGAGCAGCACAAAAAGGACCAAGATATATCCTATGAAAAAGGAGTGAGTCTCAGTTGTGAAGTGTGATATGCAGTGTACTTGTTTAGGGTATTTTATTGAAGTTCTTAGATGTTTGATTTGCATCAGCCCTCAAACAGCATCATATACCACTCCACTTGCATGGAACAACAAAAAAAAAGTATTCTCAAACTTACCTCAATCTCAACACACCATTTAAAAATAAAGCACAATAATCAGTATTGGAAAGTTACCAGTTTCAACTGCTTTTTTTCCCCTTCTTGCTGGTAGTCAACTCAAAATAAAAAAAATATAAACTGAATGTTTACCTAATTATTTATCTGTGAAGGCTTTAAGGCAGCAAAAATCTTACCAACAGTACAGCTGTCTTCAAGTACCACATCAACATTTCTGTCTCTGTATTCAACCCTGAAGTCCAGCATCCGAGGTTGCCTTTCTACAATCTGCCTGGATGGCATTACAGGTCGAAACGCCGAAGAAGAGGAAGAGGAGGAGGAAGTAGAAACTGGAGTTGGATGACTTGCTGGATTAAATGCAGGTCCTGGTATGGTCTCACTTCCATATTCACTAAAATGTTGACATAAAAGAAGGATTATTGTCAACTAAATCATTATAGAATACCCTAGGGACCCTCTCCATACATGGCTTGTGTTGTTCTTCCTATCAAGTAAGTTTACCTACATGTGTGTCAAGGCCAAACTTGAGTTCTACTTCCTCCACAAAATCTTTCCCATTAACTGAAGGCCGTATCACTCTCCTTCTTATACTAGCCTTTCTATGTCTATTAGCAATATTATATCATTTATCATTTAGATTTTTACCTTATGTTGTTATGATGTTACTAAAACATCATTTTTAACTCTGCAAATTAAGAACAGTGTCTTTTTCACTCACTCTCATTTACTCACTGAACTATTATTTGACTGATTAACTCTGCTTTCCACTAACTATTTTGAAACTTTACTGTCCTTAAACCTTAATTCTCCCTACCTCACAACTCTGTCTTAAAAGGTATCTTTTTCCATTTTACCAAGAAAACAAAAGCCATCAAGAGAAATTTCTCTTATCTTCTTAACATTAAATACACAAATAATCCCGCATACACACTCTTTCTCACTGCCTGTAAAATACAGGCGCTATCATTTTTTTAATCTGTTCAAAATCTAAAACAATTTTATTTGTTTGTTTGTTTCTTTGAGATGGGGGTCTCACTCTGTCACCCAGACTGGAGAGCAGTGGCACAATCTTGGCTCACTGCAGCCTTGAACTCCTGGGCTCCAGCAATCAATCCACCTCAGCCTCCTGAGTAGCTGGGACTACATGTGCATGCCACCAAGCCCATCTCATTTTTGTATTTTTTTTGTAGAAATGGGGTCTTGTTATGCTGGCCAAGCCAGTGTTCAACTCCTGGCCTCAAGTGATCCTACCACTTCTGACTCCCAAAGTGCTAAGATTACAGGCATGAGGCACTGCACCCAGGCTAAAACAATCTCCTCATTAGCTCTACAATAGGGATTATCCCTTTTATATCCAGTATCTTTGATATCTCTTTCTCTTCTGGATTCTTTTAAATAACATTTAAACAAGTTCAAATCTCTCCCTTCTTAAAAAATAAAAATAAAATCCTGGCTCTGCCCACTTAATAACTGTCCCGTTTGTAAAATGGGAACAATAATTATATTTGCACATCTGGTACTTAGTAAGATCCCAGACCCCCAACTCAGTATGTCCACAGCTTAATTCATTAGTATTTCCTCAAGTCTGACCCTCCTCTATTACTCCTAATAACAACTCAATCCAGAAACCTGTGGTGTTATCCTTGATTCCTTCTTTTTCAACCCACATATCTAATCAGTCCTTTAAATTGTATCTCCTAAGTATGTTTTGTTTAAGTCATCCACCTTTACCCTCGGATGCTGTCACTCTAGTACAAGCCATGATTACCTCTTGTATGAACTAATGCAATTGCCTCCTAACTAATCTCTTTATATGCATTTCTGCAACACTGAGTTCCATTCCATCATGCCCCTAGAGTGAAATTAAAGACACAAATGTCTTCATATCATTCTCTTTCTCAACCCTTCAAATGTTCTCCTTTGCTCTTCAGATAAATACTTAAAGTGGCTTATAAGGCCCTGCATGATCTGAATCCTACCTAGCTTTCCATCTTCTTGTGCTACACTATTTCCAGCCTTCTATGCTAACAGGCACATGGTCTTTCATTTCTTCTCTCACCTTAATCATTCCCATTTCACAGAGGAATACAGGCTATTCCCTCTAAGAATATCTTTTCCTCCATTACCCATCTACTTCTGTCTTTCTTTTAAAAAATTATACTCAAGGCTTCATATCTCAGATTGAATGTCTTAACTCAGGGCACTAGGTCTAATTCCACACTAGAATTAGTTAGTTGTATAATTAATGATTTGATATCTATGTCTCCACTGGAATGTAAGTCCCCCAAGAATAAAGCTCATATTTGTGTTTTTAATAGCTGTATCCTCTGCCTTGAGCTTAAGATTTTATACATAGGAGGCACTCAAATATTTGTCAAACTAATAAGGAATAATTATTTTAAAATTGGGCTTTTCTCTGACTTAATTTATCATATGTATTATCACTTTTTTTTCCCTCCCTGAGAGAAGGTGGTGGGGAGAGAGGGAACCATAGGAATGTTTCGGTTGCAACATCATTATTGTATGTATCTTCCACGATCACTACAACTCAAGACCAGCTCTAAAACATCTTTCTTCTCAACCTGAATTTAAGAGAAAACAATGGCCTGGGAACCTGCACAAAACAACAACAACAATAACCAAAAGCATGCTGAGTTAAGCAATGTTCATATAATTAAGTAGAAAAATATTTATATTTAATTTCATTTATTCATACTGTTGCTCCGAACAGTGTTCATCAGACTACAGATTACATAATCGACTTGGTGAGTTGTGATCAGTCTTTTAAAGATTAGAATAGAAATTATCAGCATTGTGTCACTTAATAGGACCATGTATTGTTCCATAAAACTTTTTATTCTGTTATATAGTTGTATATGTGTGTTTGGGATTCCAAGTATTGCTCATTTTAAATCATACTCCAAAAAGTTCAAAAATAGTTTTTGAATCAACAGAGCTCAGATACTCCAGTAATCACTGATCCAAGACAAAAACTGACCCCTTTTCCTAGTTGTTAAATTCAAAGAAAATAATCTTGTATAAAAAAACATGGAAACGAAGAAAATGTCCAAAGGCAGGCAAGAGTGCCACAGCTGAAATCCAAAGTGAGCTCTTAAATATCTATGAACAGAATCTGTGCAATAACATTTCACATCTCTAAAGTTTGTCGCTACTTCTCAAGACCCAAAGAAAAAACTAAGAAAAAGCTAGTCACTGACATACTGTTTTTTAACTTTAAATCTACCTTTCCATATAGTCTACTCTGTGATGCTGGGGCCAGGATTCTACAAAACTGTATTTTTGTCTTCTAGATGTTTTCCTGTTAGATTCTACCAACAGGAGACACTATCTAGAGATTAGTAGTTAAAGAGGGGAGGAGAGACTTCTTTTTTCCTGCTTGCATTCATTTCCATCAGCATCACCCTGTAGGTAGATTCCAGTCTTATCTTTCCAACATTCTTATAACCAGCTTCATGATATTCTCTTAGAAATGAGCGGCAGCTGTCAGTGTACACTCACAGAGGTCTGATCCGCAGCTTCAGGAGTCTCCTCTATGCTTCATGGTTCTGTTAACCCCTTTGTTCCCTAAACCTAACAGTGGTAGCTTCCTCTAGCTTTTATCATATCCAAGTTACCTCTTTTTGCTCTTTCAGTCTTCCATACTTATGTAAACAATCCTACCTTAAATTTCCTCTGGTGAAATATCTAGTATGTTTCATTTTCCTGGCTGGATTCTGATATAGTAAAGAGTTTCCCAGGAAACATACTTTCAAAGACAAGACTCAAGAATTGGCTTGATTATGTGCCCTTGATCTTCAATTCACTGCTAGCTCCTTGTCAATAAAAAATAGAATACTAGTGATCCATTCCATGTACTGGCATAATGATTATTGCATTATCACTTGTAGCTAATTATGATGATATGCCTATTGTAACAAGTCTCTAAGAGAACCAAATGACTGTTTGACTTGACTATTTTGATGGTAATAATGACACCAAGGACTCCAAGATGGCTGCTTCTGACTCAAGAGACTTAAAAAAGAAAACCATACAGAGTTTTAAAGTTTTTAACTTTCAGCTCAGGTCATGACAAGATAGCTATAAAATTTTAAAAACACAATCTTGCATGTTCTTCACATGTACCCCCCAAAACCTAAAATCCAGTAAAATATATATTTAATTTTTTAAAAATGTTTCTTACCTCTTGTAACCATAGGTATGACTCTGCCAAGAATTAGGTCAAAAATTTAATTTTGCAGACTGTAGAATTATGGTGAAAGTTGAATAAACATACTTTCTAAGTGTCCTTTGTTTTGAAAGGAGAGAGGCCCTAAAATATGAAATGATACCTGGGTGAACAGCTCCTTCTCCTATGACTGAGAAAGCTAGCTTCCCCTTGTACTAGAAGGCTAGTATCCCCCTCAGTTTAAGCTTTTAGCTTAAACTCTTAATAGTTTAATAGCTGGCTAAATGAAAACTCTCAAGAGTCCACATTTCATGAAGATGAGATGCCTGCACATCGTCCTAGGATAATGTAGAAGAAATGCAGATGCTTAAAGAAACAGGAATGCTAGAGTAGATTTACCATGTATAACCTGAATATACCACGTATAACACGCCCTCCCATATCCATGAGGTCCTAGAGGATACTGCACTAAAGCATTTTAAAATACATTAGCAAAGGAATCTGTATTTGAAAGACTCTGTGGTGACTGTTTTCTGTGAGTTAGGAATTACATGAAGAGATGACACAACTGAGAAAGACTCCTTAACAAACTGATCAGATTCCAGAGTGGCAGAGGTAAAATGGCAAAACTTGATAGAGAAAAGGTAAGAACAATCATGTTAAAGCATAGCATGGATAGAAAGTGGCAATCAGAAGGTTTTGACATACAAGACCTGCAGAGACCTTTAGAAGTACTTAACTGAGCACGGTATTTTTAGGGAACAAAATTAAAGATCAATCTACTAAAATACCACTTGATCTGTAAATAGTAGGAACCCCAGACTTGGTAGCGTAAATCCTGACTTCAGTGACCACAATGGGGTCACTTCCAGTTTCCAAACATAAGTTGGTTTACAGACATAAAGCTCCGGATTAAATGAGGCATGGTCCCCTAAAACACAACAGAGCCACAAGTATTTATTGTAAATTTTCCTCGAAGGTTTCCACTAAGACACCTGCAGCTGTTTACTAGAGTATCTGTGTGCCAATAAAAAGAAAATATCCAGATTTGCAGGAGATTACTAGATGCTAACTCTAAAATGATGCTAATTATTGGGGAATTTACAAAAGTGAAAGATTAGGGTTGGCAGTGAAGTTTTGGCCCAAATCAAACTCACAGTAAATTCCATCAATCAGTCAATCTACCCTGCAGTTATTTCCCTAGG